TGTGTATATATATGTATATATATATATATATATATATATATATATAAGCCTGAACAAATGTAAATGTTTTTAATGATTATTTAATTAAAGACTTGCAGATAATTAATAATTATTTATTTAAATTAAAAATAGTATGACAGCTAAATCAGCTGATCAGCATAGCCAGAAGCTACAGAACTAAAACAGCTAAAGAAGCTGCAGACTCTAAAGATTATTAAGAATTAAAACTTTAAAGACTAAAACTTCTAAGAAATAAAACTTTACAGACTAAAACTTTAAAGTATTAAAAATTTAAAAACTAAAACTTCAAAGAATTAAAACTTTAAAGATTAAAACTTAAAATAATTAAAAGTTTAAAGACTAAAATTTTAAGAATTAAACTTTAAAGACTAAAACTTCAAAGAACTAAAATTTGAAAGACTAAAACTTCAAAGAATTAAACTGTAAAGACTACAATTTAAAAGAATTAAAACTTTAAAGACTAAAGCATCGAAGAATTAATAAAACCTGACACTAAATCATCTACGATAGTACTGCAGGTTTTACCCTGACGAAGCCCATCTTCCCCACAGCCTCCTTGTGGTGGTTGTCCACCTGGCACACCAGAGCGTTGCATAGATGGACAGCGATCCTCTGGATGGACTCATCCTGCCGGGTCGGCTCCAGAATCTTCAGCAGCAGCTGGTTGACCCGGCTGTACTGAAACTCCAGCTCCTCGGGGATGCTGAAGTTACACAGAGTCAGGCAGCAGTTCCTCTGGACCTGAGGAAAGAGTGTCAGTAATCCATCTTTCATCAGAACCAGAAATTAATGCCCCACATCGGACTCACCGTCACCTCCTGGTACTGCTCCATCCCATTCAGTACCACCTGGATGACCTCGCGGCGTAGCCGTACACTCTGGTCGTTGCGGTACTCAGTGTTGGTTAGGTAGAAGAGGGCAGCACTGCCCGTCACCTGGATGCTCTTGTCGTACTTGTGGCACTTCAGAGCTGCTATGACCAGCTGGAAGAAAACAGAACTTTTAGAGGAACAAGCCCACACCAACGGGAACCAGAACCTGGCCCGGTCCGAACCTGTAGGGCTCTCAGCAGCTGGCTGCAGTGCTGTATCCTGGCAATGTCAAACAGCTGGTTGATGGCTCTGTGGGCCAGCTCGGGTCGGAACTCCATGTAGGCCTCTACAGCATTCAGAACCTGGTCTTCGTTCTTGGACCCGGTCACCTGCAAAAAGCCCCACGGAAACACAAAGAGGTTGAACTCCAGCTGAGTTTCGTGTTTTTAAACTCACAATCACATTTTCTGTCCATGCCTGAAGTCCAACAGTCTGGACTCAAAACTTGAGCAGAACTAAACAGAATTTCTGCAGAAAGGATGCTCATCTCCCACTGCTAAAAGCAGAAGAAAACATTTTGCCTCTGTCTGTCTTTTAGCAAAATATCTCATTAACCAGAGGAAGATTTTTAGTGAACCTTTAAGAAACTGATTCAAGATGGCCGCCGCAGCCAGTGGACCTTAAAAACGGCTACAAATCAGTGAATTTTACATGAAATGAGCTAAACGTTGGTGTGGTAGTAGCTGAAAGTGATCCCAACATGAAGTCTGAGCAGCAGGCAACAAGCATTCCTCCTGAGCTCCTGTTCAGGTGTGAAGAGAGGAGCAGTACCTTGTGGGCCGGGATGTGGGTCACATTACAGAGCGTGGTGTCGTACAGACCCAGGAACTGCAGAGGTCTCTTCAGCTCCTGGAGCGGGACGATGCTGCTCTTACACGGCTCCACACTGGAACAGAACCAGAGGTCAGACAGTCACACACTGAAGGAAGAGCTGAAAGAGTTAAAGCAAGCAGAGCACGAGCTAAAATCAACCAAACGTGGGCTAAAATCAGCAGAACATGACATAACATAAGCTAAACAGAAGTCAAAGACAACAAAACAGAATTTCAAAACAGCCGTACAGATGCCAAAAATAGCCAAACATAAGCTAAAAACAGCCAATCAGAAGCAAAATTCAGACAAATAGAAGCTAATAACAACAGAACAGAAGATGAAAACAGACGAACAGAAGGTAAAATCATCCAAAGTAAAAAATCAGTATTTAATATTAACCAACAGATGCTAAGAAAGCAAAACTGGAGCTTGAAGTATCAAAAATATATTCAAGGGCTAAGGTAAATGTTTTGAAAAGTATTAAAGTTCTAAAAACCAAAAGTTCCAGCAGCCGTCTCCTGAATAAGCTGAATGTTTTGATTTATGAGCAGCTAAGACAGCAAAATCTGTTTTAGCAAACAGGTATAAACAGGTAACTGCAGGTAAATCTGCTCTTTGGTCACACTTTCACCTGGGACGTCCCATAGCCTCCTCAAAGTGGGGGATGGTACAGTTGTCCAGCATCACATGTCCCGACAGGTCCAGGGACACCAGGTGGACGAGCCGCTGAACCAGGGCCGTCAGGATCTTACGGGTCATCTTAAACTTGGTGCTCTTCCGGCCCTCTCTGGAGATATCCAGGTGTCTGCAGGAAACCAGGAGAGTTTCAGGAAGACATGAGAGACATCCTCAGACTAAGATCGAAGAACAAATAAAAAACAAGCTGACTTCTTTTTTTGTATTTGACAAATGTGGAGCATGTTTACGATTGCGTCCCGTCCTTTATAAAAACACTCGAGCATGAAGCAGCAGGTTCATCCGGTTCTTATGATCAGAACCTCTTCCTTGTTATTTGGACAAGTGGAGACAAACACAGTTACAGTTCAGTTCACTAAGCAATTGGGTCTGGGTGCTCGAGACATGGAGTAAACCATCACATAAGGCCGGCAGTCTGACCAGGGCCAAATTAGCTGCAGCCATCTTCATTGTATGTTGATATACCAGGAACCAGCCGCTCCAAAAAGCAGGAAACCTGTTATCATAAATCCAATTATATATGAATTCCCACCTGCCTGGAGACTGCCACCATCATCCCAGTCCCAAAAAGCTCTACAGTGACTGGTCTGAATGACTATCGGCCAGTGGCCCTCACCCCGATAGTCGCTAAATGCTTTGAAAAACTGGTCATGACTCACATCAAAACAACCATCAACATCAACGAGGACCCTCATCAGTACGCATACCGTGAGAACCGATCAACAGAAGATGCCATCTCCTCTGTGGTCCACACTGCGCTCAACCACCTGGAGCAGAAAAACTCTTACGTCCGTATGCTCTTTGTGGACTTCACATCCGCCTTCAACACCATGATCCCCCAAACCCTGATGGACAAACAATCCACACTAGGACTAAGCCCCTCCATTTGCAACTGGGTCCTAGACTTTTTAACAAACAGACCACAGTTAGTGAGGATCCACAACCTCTCCTCCTCCACCATAACCCTCAGCACTGGCTCTCCTCAGGGATGTGTGTTGAGCCCCCTCCTGTTTACTCTGCTCACGTATGATTGTGCAGCTACCCATCCAGGCTGTCACATTGTAAAGTTTGCAGATGATACAGCAGTGGTGGGATGCATCACAAACAATGATGAGCCCAGCTACAGACAGAAGGTGGAACACCTGGAGAGCTGGTGCAAAGAGAATAACCTTCACATCAATGTGAAGAAGACAAAGGAGATGATTGTGGACTTCAGAAGGAACAAAAACATCTACACCCCCCTGAGAGGATCTGCGGTGGAAGTGGTCTCCAGCTACAAGTACTTGGGTGTACACATGAATGACAACCTCAGCTGGAGCAACAACACTACTAGCCTGATCAAGAAAGCTCATCAGAGACTCTACTTCCTCAGACGGCTGAGGCGAGCTGGTCTGGAAGCTCAGTCCTCACCTCCTTCTACAGGTGTGCAGTGGAGAGCATCCTGTGCTCCAGCATCAACGTGTGGCATGGAGACTGCACAGCTGCAGAAAGAAAAGCTTTGCAGAGAGTGGTGAAGGCTGCACATAAGTCTGTTGGAATCAGTCTCCCCACCATCACAGACATCTACACCTCCAGATGCAGGAAGAGGGCCACCTGCATCATGAAGGACCCCACTCACCCAGCACACACACTTTTTGCCCCACTCCCCTGAGGAAGGAGGTTGAGGAGCATTAAGTGTAGAACCACTAGACTGAGGAAGAGCTTCTACCCTGAGGCTGTTAGACTCATGAATCTCTAACTAGAATAATCACTGTGAAAAACCACATCATGTTGCTGCTGATCTGTTTCATGTTGCTGCTGATCTGTTTCAATGTTGATGTGTTCATGCGTGCACATCTGCTCACAGACTCATGTTCATGTTTGTGCTGATGTTCAATGTTTTATGTTATGAGTGCTTAGTGTATATTTAGTTGATGTTTTTCTTAGTTCATATCTTAGATGTTATTACTGTTTTTCTTTTACATTTTATTGTTGGATGTAACTGGGACCCTGTGTACATAATTTCGCTCCACCACATGTACCGCATGAGGTGCGAATGCCAATAAAGAAACTCTGACTCTGATATGAATATATATATATATATATATATATATATATATATATATATATATACTGTATGCTTGTCTCGAGAACATTTTATCAAGTGCGTTGAGAGACCAACTGACCAGATCAATAGCAATATTACGGTTAGGAAGATATGTAGAAATAGGCTCAGAAGCAAGTCTCACAGACAGGACAGAGCAGGAAAGCAAAGAGGAGGATAGGAGAGGAGGGGAAAGGCATACGCCCTCGACAAAGAGCAAGTGGTGAAGTGATGTGTCCCACCATAATCGCCTGTTCAAGACATGTCTCACCATCATCACCTGTTCAAGACATGTCCCACCATCATCACCTGTTCAAGACATGTCCCACCATCATCGTCTGTTCAAGACGCGTCCCAAATTCTTCACCTGTTCAAGACATGTCCCACCATCATCACCTGTTCAGGACACGTCCCACAATCATCACCTGTTCAAGACATTTCCCACCATCATGACCTGTTCGGACACGTCCCACCATCATCACCTGATCAGGACATGTCCCACCATCATCACCTGTTCAAGACATGT